TCCAAATCAACGGTAGTACTGCAAACAGGAACTAACAAACTGTCGATAGAACTGGTTACCACCAGTTGCCCGGAAGTGGCGAAACATAGTGAATGCGATACTAAATAAAAAATATTGGCATAAAAAACACTGGCATAGAAACCTGAAGGTAAACTAAACAATAAACGAGATGAGATTAACTCCATACTTCTATACAAAAAAATACCCTAAATGTCAGTTTAGCAGCTCGCCCTAGCAGTTATCGATAATCACAGAAACTTGTAAAATAAATCAAAGCAATTCAAATGCAAACCCAAAACAAAATCAAAGTGGTCAAGTTGTGACCACACAGTATAGGAAAATTATCAATATCAACGCTAGGTAAGTAACGTGTGTGTTTATACAAATTTCAACACCGAGGATATAAAAAAAATTCAAAGTTCGAAAATTTATATGGCTTGTCCACCCTGTTTAGGGAAAATACAAACCAAAAGTGCTGTAAAATACAAAGCTTCAAACCTTATGAAATGTCAAAAACCTTGAAATTTAAAAAATTTCAAAGTCACAAAAAAATTGACCACCCTGTATAAGAGTCCCAACAATAGATAAACTTTCAATTTATTTACCAAGAAAAATTTTAAACTATTAAAAAAAATTTTTAAACCCCAAAGGAAAATTCAGGTCCAGCATTAAATTCTTGACCTCCTGTATACCAGTTCAAATTACTCATCAAAACACAAACAGCTGACACATCTCCGTAATATGAAACTGTCTGAGTTCTATAGACCCAAATAATAATAATTAGAAATATCAAAAATAAGTAAGAGAATAGAAATTTCAGTCTTAAATCGTATCAAGAGAAACTACAACTGTTTCTTCCTCTGTATTCATTACCAAAAAAAATTAAACTACAAAAATTAATATATGAAAATTGAATTAGAAAAAATTGTCAGGACTCCAGTGAAATGTTACGAGTAAAAATTTCTCAAAGCCCCACGTTTATGGGTGCCAAATTAAGGGTAGCGTTTTTTAAACAACTACCACGCGAACGGCAGGTTTTTCATCGGAGAGCAGTCGTGGATAAGGTATTTCACAAGAGAGAAAATTAATCAATGAGTAATAAACAAAAGAATATATAGATATTGGGCGGCAGGCATGAACAGAGAAAGGAAAACACAGTTTGTATATTACTTAAAACTGATGACTATATTTATTCGTGATGAATTCTGATGGTAATATGAGCATGTCATTAATATAATTTATAGTGGTTACTTGGAGTAAGAACTAAATGTAAATAATATTAAATACGTTCTATGAAAAGACTATAAAGAAAATACAATGCGTGTAACGTTATAGAAAACACAGGAAAAGTAGCATCACTTTACTTAAATTGTCAAATCTATACGGTGCCAAATCAGATGTGTTGCAACCTGCAGATTCTAGAATCTATCTCGTTATTCTATCCGGCCTGAACGAGAGGGAATCCGGTGATGATAGGCCAGACATCATATATTATATATAAAAAAGACATGTAACGAACTAAAAACGTTACAGTATTAAATAGTCCTTATACTACTAAATTATAAGTCGGATACTGTTTAAAAAGGATAAGTTCTTTACAATATGACAACACCGATTAGAGGCGAGGGAGCCTATTCATTCATTTATTGCCTTGTAGTACGCGTCGCACGTGTGCGGTAAAGCTTTGTTGCCGCTATGTCCCCGGCTGTATTAACGCATTTTCTTAGCTTGTAGTCCTTAAGTGTTTATTTTATTGACTTTTCGTTCAGAACCTAGAAAATTATGGTTCGCCAGTGCCAAATTTGCAAGAAATTTGACTAAAATAATCCATTTAAGTCCTGAAACGACTTTCGACCGGTAGGCAACTCTCAATTTACCCATTGGGAGTCAGTGCGTTGTTGTAGAAAGGCGTTATTTTAGAATAATATTTTAGTTAAAATGTTAAAATCTGTAATTTTTTCTCTTACCATGACATTATTTACTTACTTACATTGTAACAAAAATCATAATTATAACCCTGTTAATAATAATAATGTTTTTATTAAAAATATATTCCGGGTTATTCTAAAATTATTCTTCAAGAATCTAAATAATATACAAGAATTTTAAAATGATATTACATTATGAAACAATATTTTTTAATATACCGGATCGTCTCAAAGTGGCTCACCCCTATAACTTTTTTATTTTTTCAGATAAAAAAACAGATTTGTATGGGAGTAGTATATATGACATAAATTAAGATTTATTTGACGTATTCAATTGTTTGGTCTCTGTCCTGTTTCACCGAAAATTGATTTACATCTTTGGATTTTTAAAGGCCACCTTCGGTATTTTGCTACTTTATTCGATAAAAATGACACTCGGAATAGAAAATGACTATCATAATGTCAACTTTTGACATTGTCGACTTTAAAACAAATCTTACTTTAAATTTCAATCCAGGGTGCTATGGTGTTGTTAAAAACACTAAGTTTTAATCATGGAGCCGTTGGAAAAATAGTTTTATCATCTAATGGGTTCGTGTCTGTCTAGACCTAAAAGATGTACAAAGCGTATTTTTAATCATACTATGTCAATTTTTTCAAATGGAACAAGGGTGATCATTAGCATATTTGAAAAAGGGCATTTTTTATGAAATATATTGATACCACACACTTGGTATTTTGAGTCAAATTGTCGTTATGAACCGCGTGTTACAATTACAATTAAACCATATCCGAAAATGTCAAAAGTTGACATATGATATGTCATTCTATTCAGAGTGTCATTTTCTATCGAATAAAGTAGAAATATACCGAGGGTGCCGTTTAAAAATTAAAAGTTATAGTCATTTCCGGTGAAACAGGAAGTGACCAAAAACAATTGAATGCGTCAATCACTCCTAATTTATGTTATATACTAATATACTAAATCTTGTTTTTTTTATTTGAAAATATAAAAAAATTATGGGGATGAGCCACTTTTGGGACGCACCCGGTATAATAAAGATAGTACCGAGTTAAATAAATGTAGTTTTCATTTTATCCACTTCCTATCACCTTCCTTGCTTTAATGGAACAGATTTATGTTTTCTCTAATTTACATAATAAGACATCACTTAACCAAAAAAAAAATTACAACAATCATATTTTTCTCTCCCTGTCGCCGATTCTATTGTATCTGTGGAATAGATTCTGTTTTGATTAATATTAGGGGTTGTAAATGTTTAACTAAAATTAATAATTTATTATTAATTTCAAAAATTACGTAATTTCGATTATAAAATTTCTTTTATAACGTGTATTTTATTATTTTTATCCTTTTTGGACTCTAAGACGTTTTTTCTAAACTTTTATTCAAAAAACCTGTCCTAAATCTTAATAAAATATAAAAAAGTTTAAATATGATATATTTTTAATTTAATTATAGCTTCATTAAAATAAAAAAATTACCCGGCTATGATACCGGCTGATTTAACGGCTGTTTAAGTACATAGAAAAAAATAGGCTGTACTTAAACTGCCGTTAAACGGTAGCCTACTGAAATGCCGTTAATAGGTATGACGTCGTTGATGTGACGCACTTGACGGCTTTTTAATGCTTTGGTTAAAATGCCGTCAAACGGTCGCGTACTAAAATGCCGTTAATCGTTAATGCAGAATAGGCTACTGATTAATACTTTATAATTTGTAATGTAATGTTGTCCAAAATCCGTCATGGCTTATTCTGAATAAAATTAACTTAGAACGGTGTATATGTAGGTATACGTATATGCTGCCGTTGTAGTGTATTATTTTTAAGTTGTCAGTTTATAATTTGCAATAAAAACCTGAAAACCAATGCCATATATTACATTTTATCGCAAATACATTTTCAAACCTACAACGGCAGCATATACGTCTACCTACATATACACCGTTCCAAGTTAATTTTATTCAGAATAAGCCATGACGGATTTTGGACAACATTACATTACAAATTATAAGGTATTAATCAGTAGCCTACTCCGCATTAACGATTAACGGCATTTTAGTACGCGACCGTTTGACGGCATTTTAACCAAAGCATTAAAAAGCCGTCAAGTGCGTCACATCAACGACGTCATACCTATTAACGGCATTTCAGTAGGCTACCGTTTAACGGCAGTTTAAGTACAGCCTATTTTTTTCTATGTACTTAAACAGCCGTTAAACGGTAGCCTACTAAAATGCCGTTAATAGATATTGTGACGTCGTTCATGTCGGCGGAAAGTAATGCCTAGCCTTAAGCTTTTTGTAAGAGCACCTGTGGGTCGGTGGCTGAGGCTATCGCTTCGTAAGCGGATGGTCTGTGGTTCAAATCTCACGCCGACCAAGACTTTTTTATATTTTTTTTGCTTATAGCGTGATCTTATTTCATTGGTTTCACACTTTTTGGTTGGATTGGTTTAGTTATTTGGCGGTTGGTTAGCGTGGTTATTTGGAGGGTGTTAATTCATTGGTTAGTTGGTTATTTGGTGGGGTTGGTTGATTTTTACTAATTTATATTTGTTTTTTTATATTTTTATCAGTGTCGAGGTTAGTTGCGTTGGTTAAGTTGGTTATTTGGTGGGGTGGATAGCGTTGGTTAGTCCTTACAAAATTCCTATATTTCATAAAGCCGTCAAGTGCGTCACATCAACGACGTCATACCTATTAACGGCATTTTAGTAAGCTACCGTTTAACGGCAGTTTAAGTACAGCCTAATAAAATTTGTAGCCGACCAAGGTTAAAACAAGGTTAAAAACTCGAATGACTAGGATTTAGAAAAGAAAGTTAAAAATATACTAATAAACCTAGATCCGCCCATCTCCCACCATTTTAATTGAGGGGTAAAATTCTTGACAATTTTCATTCATGTTTAAGCTTCAAAAAAGACCGCATGGTGGCAGCAGCTCACAATACCCCTCATCGTACGACTATTTAATATTATACATATAGACAAGGATTTAACCTAATAATCGACGTTGACCATACATATCAGCGATTCTGTATACTAACCTTCATTTTCACTGCTAGATGGCAAGGGTCTGCGCCAAAAAGGGACTGCCATTGGCCCCAAATTTGTACCGTTTGAAGGAGGCGGTACAAACGTTGTTGGCTTCTTTTTCTTCCTATACAGAGCCGAGGCAGCGGCGGGCCCATTGTAGCCTCCAAATTTGCAGTTAAACACGCCCCCAGGCGGACCCAAAGACACTGCAGCTGGTTTTTCTACCAGTCGTCTAACATGAAAGAATCGGTAGTAGAGCAGCATGAAGCCAATGCCCAGAAAAAACAACAAAACCGTGACAATGGGAACTGTAAATCACCAAAAAATAGTTCTAATGTACTGATCGTTGAAATGTCTACTGGGTTTTTACCTAGTTCCCAATGTTCGAATCTGAAATTCCAAACTGCCGCTACCCATGCCCCCACTAAAAGAGAGTTTTCCAGTAGCATGACAACATAGAAAATAGTCATGGTTCTTCCGTGAGGCTTGTCCTGCAAATTGATGTATGCTAAAACATATATAGCTGCTAGTAGGGCACAGACCCCTAATTTTCGGCCCCTTTCCCCGTGAAAGGGGCTGCGTGGGCTCAGTAACCATAAGAACATGCAGGCCCAATGCAATGCCAGTACCTAAAAGATACCATAATATAAACTTTAAGTTAAAATATATTTTTTCTAAAAATACATATACAGATATACTCACAAGAAATATCCAGGAATGATATATCGCTGTATAAGCTGATAATGCTAAGGCCCTCGATGTTACAGTTCCGGTTCGCCACAGTAGCTGGGATACCACTCCTAGCCAGGTCAATACCAGCCTATCTACACTCTGTACGTGTTTACTAAACGAGGCTAAAGCCCAACAAACTGAAAAAAGAGACAAGCAAGCTGATACTGTAACTAAATCAGCTGGCACACCTTGTGACTGTGTTGTATCTAAAACATCCATACTAGAGTACAAAGTATATAAATAAATTAGTTAATAATACCAGCTAATAAACTAAGTTGTAACAGTAACATGGGTGCAGCCTGTAAAAACCCATGGACCAGTCTTAATAGACAGAGATCTCTGACCTCATTTTTGACAGTCGATAGTTGAACAGGTACTAATAAACGAGCATAACGCCATAATACTCCAATTTGCAGACAATGCAATAGCAAAACAAACACACGAGACCAACCAGCAGAACTTTTGGACAAATACCTACAATAACACATTTGAAAATCACCTATTTACAGAGATATTCTAATTTAATCACCATTTCATAGACAATATTTGTGATATCAACATTGTAATAACAACTGAACTAAGACACTGGGCAAAAAGCAGAGTAAGTCCGTGTTCGTACAAAGCATATACCACCAAGAAATCAAACACGAGATCGCAGAAGTATGCGGCTAGAGATACAACGTTAAATAACAGATCGCATAGCGGCAAAAATTCTGCCATGACTTCGAATAATTCATCTCATTCTAAAATCGAAATATCTAATTAGGATAAATCATTCAAAACAGTGCATTTCTTGTATTACAAATTTAGAAATTCCTATTTAAAATTCAAAATATACATAAAAATTCATGTGAAAAAATTGATCATCATCATAATTACGCTACATTCCTCAATAAAGTTAAAAAATTCAATTATAATAGTTTACATACTTGCTTTTGAGTACTTGTTTGGGCGATTGCCCGCATTCCTAACCTCCTTTCATTTTTATTTCAGATTTTTAGTTTTCTGATAACTCCTTTACGTTTTAAAATACACAGCACTCATTTTATACTGTAATAGAATGGCATTCTAATTTGAACAAGCAGAAAAACACTTAAAACCTGTAAATCTCACAAAATGAAAAGTTATTTAAAGAATTGCTGTGAGAGTTGAGTGTTGTCGCAGCCACAGAATGTTGTCGTTGTCGCGCACATGTCGCGCAACCATCGCGCCAGGCCCTAGAATACATTAAAATAGAGATGGGCAAAAGTAACCGGTTTTTTGAATAACCGGTATTTTCCTCTAAAATAACCGGTTATTTAAAGGTAGTTTTTTTTCATCAGTTAACCTAATAACCTTGCATTACGTTCAATAACCTATAGCCGGTTATTTTTTAAAAAATCGTACTTGTTTAAAACAAGTAACCATTAAATATTAACTGTTTGAATCGTAAATTTCGAAGAAGCGAACGGCACGGATCTTCCAGATATTACGACGATAACGGGAGATCCCGCTCCCACCCCAAAACAAAAATATATGACATCAAACATCAAATGTCAAAATTAAATCAGGCATCAGGCGAACCCTGATGATAATAATCAAAACAACGGCCGAATGGCCCTGACAGGTCAGGCCGTAAAACAAAGTACTAATGCCATAGACTACTACTAGCCACCAGCTAGCCAAGTGATACGAACCTAACTTCAAATAGATTCTCTAAATTCTATATTTAAATTTTAACCGACTTTAACGGATTTTCAACGGTTCTTCAAAAGTTTTCCATGGTTTCGCCTAGTTTCACCCACGTTTCACCGTAAATATATTTTATTTGTAGTTTGAAGTCTCTCTTGAAGCTTAGACTAAAGAATACAAAATTGAAGTTCAAGTAATGAATGAAGATAATATTTCATTAACTATTCATTCAGTCTCCTTATTTTTCTTTGGTATTTGATTAAAATAACTTGGTTGTAGATTGTAGAACTTGTGAGTTGTGTGGTTTATTTGAACGTTAAGTAATTACTAGTTTTAATATCATATCCATGTCTACTCAAAAATTTAATTAACTATAAGAGGCTTAACTTAAGAGGCTTCTAAAGTATTTGCAAGAGAGGCTTGTAGAAATCAGTTATCAAAAAATATTGTTTCAAGTAATTCATTAAAATCTAACAAAGAGCACAATATTGTCAAGAGTTTGCGTAACAAAGATTGTTTCTATCTAAAAGCTGATAAGGGAAATAAGGTTGTTATATTAGATAAAAAAGACTATTATGATAAGGTTAACAACTTAATCGATAATGGCCCCTACATAAATTTGAAAAAGAATCCTTTGTCTAAGATGGTAGCAGACGTTAAAAAAACTCTAAAAGAATGTAACACCCTTATTGATCTTTCTTTAAAGAGGAAATTGCAAGTATCCAATCCCTCATTACCAAAATTGTATGCTTTGCCAAAAATTCATAAACCGGACAAGTCTATGCGCCCAATTGTATCGGCTGTAGGTTCTCCGACTTATAATTTGGCAAAATGGTTATCAAGGGAGTTCGAAAATTTACCTGATCATGAACCTTCTTTCGCAGTTAAAAATAATATTGAATTCATTAACAAAATTAAAGATATAACATTGCATGAAGGTGAAATTTTGGTCTCCTTTGATGTATCTTCGTTGTTCCCAAGTGTTCCAATTCCACATACTTTAGGCTACTTGAAGGAATTACTGAACGCAAATGGTCTCGACAACAAAACTGTGACTGAATATATTGAGCTTACATCGTTATGTATGAAACAAAATTGTTTTCAATTTAATAACAACTTTTTTGAACAGCGGGAAGGTACAGCAATGGGTAATCCATTGTCTCCATTTTTGGCTAATTTATTCATGAGCAGGTTTGAAGTGGAGGCTAAGAATCATAAAATAATAAATACAAGAAGAAGTGTCAAGTCAATGTTAAATTATGGAAACAGCGTGGCTGCCTGGGTAACTAATTTTCAGATATGGCGGCTGGGACATTTGACATGACATAGACATGACAATTTCAATTTTATGAAATTTATTTCCGTTTCCGGTTTTTAATGGCGGGCTGTTCAGGAGGTTTAAATGAGGGTTAATATACTTTTTTACTCTTTCTAGTAGTAAATAATACAACAAAATTACTCAAAAATATTTATTTAGAACAATGTAAATATGCAAATCAACACAATTAAAGAGCTATAATCCAATAAACTACTGTATCAATATCAAATATTTAAATAATATCAGAGATGCTGTGTTAAAGTGAATTAGTAAAGTAACAGTGCATTGACTTACAGAAACTTGAAGATAAATAAATGTTTCCACAGCTTCACGGGCATAAAAACTAAATAACTGGAAGCAGGAAAAGGCAACAGGCGGAACCCACACAAAACCTGGAATTAAAAAATATGTAAAAAACATAAATATAGGTACATAAGACTTTGTGAATTAAATCAAACAGGACTTGAATGAAAATAAAATGAATAAAAAAATTATAATACATCATCTAATACCTCATTTGTATTTTAAAAAATAAACTACATACATAGATTTATAGCATTATTGCTATGAAAAAATACATAATAGGGTACCTATGTGATATGTAATTACGCATTTCTGTTCATCTTGTAGAAAATTAATGTAGGCTAATAATACTTCAATAATCATAATTTACCTTGTATAACTTGCTTTCAGTTGCTCAAAATCACCGATCAGTCTTTAAAGTAGAGATATGGAAAAATCCTTGGCAAAGAATATTCCAAGATCCTTGGGTTTAAAGCTAAAAAAATATAAAAACAGTTAATATATTACCTATTTTTGCATATAATATGGCCCATACCTACTACACGCAGAAACGTCGATTTCATCATTTTCTTCATGTAATTAATATCATATATACTTTATTAAAGTGTTAACAAGGAACTTTATATCAAAAAACATCTTTGTACTTATAAATTTCAGCCGAAATATCAGAAACAAACTTCCAATCAAATCTAAACGGCAAAAATTAAAATGGCGCCCGACCTTGCCAGCAGGGGGGTGACAGTGAAATAGGAAAATTGGAAACAGTCATTAGTGTCATTCTCCTCACGACAAGTATGGCCGCCTAGACAAGGACAGCATTGTTCTTGTCTAACTATTGTCTAACTTCACAGTTTAGAATTGACAGATTTCAGTTTCAGAGACAACTTCAGATTTGTTCTAGAACAAATTCTGAAAAAATCTTCGACGCCATTTTAATTCATTCCGTTTAGTTTCGTTTTGGAAGTTCAATTTAATATTTCGGCTGAAATTTATAAATATAATGGTATTTAATAAAGTTATATAAAATATATATTACATGAAGAATCTGGAAAACGACGTTTCTAGCAGTAGGTATGTCCTATGTATATGAAAAATAGGTAGTAAATAAACACTGTTTTTACATTTTTTAGATGCAAGAAAATGGTATTATAATATCTTTGATCGGCGATTTTTCTGAAAATGGAAGCAATTTTACAGCAAGGTAAGATCATTTTAACTATAGCCAACATTAGTTATCTCAGGTATGTGCGAATTTATTGTCAATAATGCAATAAATCGGACTGATAATCTGATTACAGGTTATCCGGACTCAAAAGTCTCTTTGTTTCTTTTGGACTGATAAATCACGATTATGTTATCCGACTAAAAGTCTCTTTTTGCTTCTTTTTTGATTTATAAGCCGGGCCTCTTTGGGAGATAACGGACGCTTTTTTAAACAGTATATTTATATTTTATACCTATTGATATTTTACATTGTTAATTTTAGTATAAAAAATTGTTTTCTGTTTTCAGGTTTTTGTATAAGGCTCCCGTTTTCATGTTCCTGTGTCCGTTTTTGTCTGTCTTGAAGGTCAAGCGAATACGTGTGTTTATTTACAAATTACTGTAAGTCATGCTTATACCTTAAACTAATTTACGTTAAAAGTACATATATACTTAACTAATTGGTATTGAAACCATACAATCCTCTATATTTTTATATTTGTTTAGTCACGTTGTTCCATATTTCAAATAAATATATGTGAATAAATAATTTTTTTAGTTTTATTTATGAAAGTAAAAATACAAAATACATTTGAACTGAAAGAGGACCCGCCATTGAATAACCGGAAACGGAAATGAAAATTAAGCCATCATGTCCTTATCATGTCAACCTGTCAATTGGAAAATTAGTTCTCCAGACGACAACGAAGGCTTTCGGTGGCGTATCGTGTTTCCACGATTTAACACAGAGTTGACACTTCTTTCTAGTTAATTATTTTATGCTTGCCAGAGGCCTCGGGAGCTGACGCTGACACACAGACAAAAGACAAAAGAACAGGACGCCGACGTGCATAAAAATGTTCCGTAGCAGAAATTGACAGGAATCATATAGAAATATTCAGATTTTTGTCTAGGACAGTCTAGAAGGCCATGCTTTCTGCCTGGGTAGAACCAAAGACATCTAAATATAGGTAGACAGAACACTCCATTCATAAAACTCAATTTTTTAGAATCATACATGGTTTGGCACTTTTATGAGAGTTAAAAAGAGATGGGTACATAAATATGACAACACGGTTGAGTTTCGTCTGTCTTTCTGTCATTTCACTCCATCAGTGGCGTGACGGTGGTGTGGTGTTTTTTTATCAAAAATTTTAAAATAGTTATTTTGTGTATTTTAATTTAAATTTTAATTTGTAATATACGTAGTAATATCGATAATATACAATGTAGGGGCGTTTGCACCAAGTTTTTTAAGCAAAACTTAACATTATGGTTTAGCTTATTTTCTTGCACTATGCTTTAATCTAACTTGAATTTATATTTAAATTAAGCGGTCAAATTTCCAGGCTAGTGGTCACTTAACCTATCTTAGACACAAAAAAATTGTTTTACGAGGAAGAATTATTGTTATTCCTTTGAGAAAGCTAAAAAGTGTATTATGATACCTCTACGTAAGTTCGATGATTACTTTTGATATCCTAGACGTCGATCAGTAGGTATATTCATTGAAAATGGATTTCCTCAAGAGTGGATGTAAGGAAAAATCATATTGCCAAGAAATGAACCTCCTTAAGTTTTTAGGACAGAGACTTTTAAACGACACTGTAATATATATCCTCGGTTTAATCCTTGTTTAATTGAACAAAATCTAGAATATCAAAATGAGAGGTAAGTTGGAATGCTAGTAAATCTAATGTAAGATAAATTAATTATATTTATACTTTGAACCATTGTTCTTTACTATTTCCAGAAACAACAGCATAACTGCCTTAAATCAACAACAAGTTTTATAGTATATTTAGGTTTCCTGGGATTATAGGGATAGTTGATGAAACACAATGTAAGAAAACATTCACCTGGTAAGTACCTATATATTTTCTTCAATATTTATCAGTACAAGGTTTCTTATACTTTACAGGGGGTATTGATGGAGAGGTAATTAGAAATAGAAAAGCATTATTTTCCCCAACATTTAAATTACTGGAAATGCTAGTCTTAAAACTATAGACTTGATTGCTTGTTGGCATGGGTCTGTGCATAAAGCCACCATTTTTGGACATTAAGGACCCGCATGGAGACTGGTGACTTTTCAAATTAAATCCTGCTTGGTTAGTGGTCCGTATATTTACTTACTGTTAGATCATTTATATAAAATATATTCCTTAAATATTTGAGTAGGTATTCAATTTAGAAATATATTACGAATAAGATGAATTGAAAGAAATTTTTTAAAATTAAATGTGATAATATTCAAAGGGTTCATATACTCTATTAAATTATTTTATTATCTGTTATAAGGTGAGATTGCATATGCATTGAGGGGATATATGCAGAAATAGAGCTGAAGAAATGTTTCAGAATTATCGTTATATGGAAACGCCACTTTCCAATATGTGTTTTATGGTATAAGACCAAAATTACAAAACACAATGTCAGTTATTGTTGCACAACAGTGAGTTAAGAAAAATATTATCTGTTTAATTATAGAACAAAATTTAAAAAATTTAATGTATGTACTTAAATTTTTAGATTTTGTTGTTTCAATGTGCTACACAATACAGCCAGAATGATGCCTGAACAAGAGCTGCCGCCGTTAGATGAAATAAATATGGACCAAATTAATAAGAAGAGAAATAATAAATTAGTTTGAAAGATTAGGGCAATATTTTTTTTTAACTTATTCTAAACATGTTTTTATGTTGTTATTAAATCTCTTGAGTATTAATTTCTATAAAATATCATTATTAAATGTCTTTTATTCAGAAATAACATACATTACATTTTTTACATTACAATATAAACACTAATTAAAATTATTAAATAAGTTCTCTTTGAGAATTTTACTGTTCTTTTTTTATTTCAATGTCTAACAACCCTTTTTTTCTTTAGCTTATGTTCTTCTCTGTTTTGAATACTACTACTTTGAATTTTGCCCATCTCCATATTACAAAAGAACAGCCTTTTGTCTAGTAAATTAATATCTTCCCTTTTCTTCTGTTTCTTTGTAACCATCAGTTTTGTTTTGAGACTGAAAAAATATCTAAATATATTGAATTCTCTTCAAAGTAATAAAAAATTCAAAAACACAATGAAAGGTTAGTACTTACAATACCAGTACTCCTATTAGTTTTAGACAATCTATCACCATCATGTTTTTTAATCCCACAATGCTCTTCTCATTTTTACATTAATTGAATATATTATTATCTTCCGTTTTTGCTTTTTGTATACGTGGACCTCCACCAGTTAGTCAAAATATATTTTAATAATTGATTTTCTTTTACATAGTATTTATACATACGTTGTAAGCTTTCCATACAAATTAGAAAGCCCAAAAATCCCGTTTTTCTTTGTGACTATGGTTGACCTTTCTTTTAAAGTAAGTCCAATAATATACAATTTAATTATTTCAAAATTATTAAAAAGTATGTTGTTCTTATATTTTTGATAATTTTTTTATATGAATATTTTGTAAATCCATTCTGAGAGTTAAAAATATCAAAAATATTGTTGAAAACTAAATGGAATTTAGAGGCCTCCTAAGAAAACTCTGGGCCAGTTTATGTATCCCTTATAAATTCTGTTTTCGGCAAATAAAATGACAATGTTAAAGCAAAGGATAGTAGCAGAAGATTGGATTTTTGTGTGGCAGGTCCTTTTAACATTCTTTCAAAAATACTTTGTACTGGTTCAGCTAAGGAAACCTAAAAAAACATATATTATCTCTATTAATGTTATATCTCTATAATATTATTAGTCTTTTTTAGACACATCCAAATTCACTAAAGGGTTTTAAAATTTAGACCTGGGGCGCTATTCTGTACAATCGTCGGTATCGGTAAGTTACCGACAGCTATCGGTACGTGCGGCCAATGAGCGTCGTGTTGATTGTTGTTGTCATAGCTACCGATCGGCCCTTTGGCAGATATCGCAAATTTGTACCGACGAAAATCGGTATCTCTACCGTGCCCTTGTCAACCTCACGGTAGAGATACCGAGAGTTGTCGGTACAAATTTGCGATATCTGTCATAGGGCCGATCGGTAACTATGACAACAACAATTAACACATATTTACTATATGCAAATACGTACCGATAGCTATCGGTAACTCACCGATTCCGACGATTGTACAGAATAGCGCCCCTGGCCTTGTCATGGAAATTAGAACCTTCCATTAATCGTATTTATGCCACTGTCATATGGATTAGTGTATCATTCACAAAATTAGACCAGAACTAAATTTAAAACTTGTTAATGAATCTTGGGGACAGATTTTGACATAATGGCTGCAGGACTAAATTATTAAATGGCTGATAACTTTACATTATTATAGTTCCCCTCCGCCCGCCACTCAAATATATACATAAAATAGTGTGTCCAAGATAATAATTACAAGCACTGGGATCTCAGAAACAGTAAGAGATACAGCTTCAATTATTAGAAATTGCTTTTAGCGATTTTTACTTGATTTTTATATTTTTGATCCTCACATATAACCTTTGACTTATAACCATTATGTTTTTAAATGTCACCCTGCATACCTATATTCATACCTGAATCGTCAATTCAGTTGATTCACTTATCAAAGATTTTTCTTTTAAGTAATCAATTAACTGATGCATTGATATTATTTTATTTTTCAATCTTCTAAGACCTATTTGTAAAGTATGTATTTTTCATTTTCTTTGTTTCCAAATTTTTACAAGACTTAAATTTCTACATAATATCATTATAATGCCTCATTAACATACTTCTTTCTGAAATTAAAATAACTTATGCACAATTTTACTTAAGATACAGGGTGGCGCCTCTTAAATGCTACCAAGGAGAAAGAGTTTGTATTGAAATTAAATTTTGGGAGTATATGTAGGTTAATTTAGAGCATTTAAACATATAAATGTGATAAAATATGTGTTTTTTTAAAATATGGAGTTCTACAGGGTGTCGCCAAAAAAGTTACACAACAAAGTTTTGTTTTTTGGAATGGGACACCTTATATATTATTTGATTTTCGGATTCTATGAGAAAAATAAAGGTGAATTTCATTATTGGACTAAAATGTAATTTTATTCCCTTTTATTTGAAATGAACACAGCAAGTTCCCTTTTATTTGAACACCCAGAATACTATTCCGATCTTTTAATTGCAGTGTGCATTCATCAATTAATAGAATGCTTAAGGTCAAATTTTAATTTGGTTAAATATACAATGAGTAAATTTCCATCTAGGTAGCTGTTATTGAAATTTAAAGTTTATTCATTATTTTCACCAAATGTGAAATATGACAAGCCTTACATTTTAGACATATGCTTCTTTAACAAAACTCACTTTTATTTCTTTCCTAGAATCCGAAAATCAATTAATATATAGGTGTTCCATTACAAAAAAAAACTTTGATGCATAACTTTGGGGACACCGCGCAGAACTCTTGATATTTCTATAAAATGCTTTCCATTATCCTACATATGCTCCCAAAATTACATTAACGATAAAAACCACCGTTCTCTTTGGAGCCTCCGCGTCGTAGGAGAGGCACCACCTTGTATATAATGTAGAGGTAATTTTTACCTTTTTCTGATACTTTGACGACTTTCTTGAGATAATAAATATCCAACTATTGAGAGATCAGAAGATGAGGATTGTCTTACTATGCTGTAAACAAACAAAAAAACATTAATAATTAATTTTTCAATAAAACCTATTTTCGTTTTTAATTTTTTCCTAAATACTAATAATTTCCTTCTATAGTATTAAATTTATCATTAAGCGAGAATGTTTTCTAGTGCAAAACAAAAGCTCACTCATAGAAAATATATGTAAACAAAAACCAACACTATGGCAAAAATTATGTAGTTTATGATCTTATAATGTGGAAAATAATTCCAAATAACATATCCTTGACAAAACATATAAAATAAAAGATAGCTATGTTAATTATACAGGGTTTCTGGATATTCGACCGATAAAGTCTCGTATTTTTATAAAAATTAAGATAGGGAAGTAAACCCATAAAGTGCTTAATTAATAAGATACAAAGTGATATTAGTAATGTTATATTACGTTATATTGTTCTATTAGATATTATAACAGCTTCCTTGAAATCTATTACTGCTAATGACATAAACAAAGTGTCCCCTTTTCTGCGAGAAAGATAGAGATGTCAATTTTTAAATAATTAAGATGGCAAACAAAAGCAGAAAAAATGTTATTTTGAAAAAGCTCAATGTGTCAAAGTATCCCGTCTACTATAGTTACGTCAAAAGTATGATTAAGAATGTATTTAGATTTTTTACCGCAAAAATTGTGTCTACGAAATTTCGCGTCTCTATTTTTTTAAAGAAATACCTGGATATGTCAAAATTAAACTTACATTGTGACACCCTGTATGTTAAAAAGTAAATACTTCGCAAGAGGGTGTACACCTGTATTCAATAAGGCACAGTACACTACTTGACAATAATAGTTATAATGAGAGTATTTCATTTAAAATATATTACATACTAGTTGAAGCCTGGCGCATCCGCCACGACATCAGGAAAAAAAAATACTTATTATTTTTTTTAATTAAATGAAAAATAAAAAATCCGGCGATGAGCCAATTAGCTATCTTTTAGTAAAAAAAGCAACTTTCTAGAGCAAGTCGTTACTTCAGTAGAGACGACACAGATAAACATTAGCATTTTATATTATTATTATATTATATATATTACTTTGTTATGAATACAGCTATATTCCCATTCTGTTAAAAATACAAGAGCTTTTAAGCCTTGTCAGTCAAACATCCAGAATACACTTACAAAGAGCACATACTGGTTAATTCCAACTTCTTTTTCCAATGCCGTTTCTGTTGTTTTGAGGGAAGGGCTTCTTGAGAAGGGCTAGTTTATCTTGTATGATTTTAGGCAAAATCCTGTGAATTTTAATTAATTATCAATATTAAAATACATGTATAAAATGTATCAATGTTCTTACAAATTTGAGGGGCCAGCCAAACTGCCAATCGCGGGACTAGGTAGGGACCTTCTCTAGTCCCTCAGCTGGTCTGGAGGTTCATTTACCTAAAACATTTTTTGGGTGGCGGTACAAACTAGAAGAAAACCTAGAGTAAATACTAATATTAGTACAATACTTATTTATTAACTGTTAAAATGTATTTGACTGCTTTTTACCTGTATGATAAAGCCCCAGCAAAAATGGTACTATCTATTTGAGGCTCAGAATTTGGTCTTATTTGCCTTCGATCAGTTAATTCGGCGATCATAATATTGCTCTTATCAAAATCATCAGAACAAATTTGGACACACATTAGTTTGATTTTTCAAATTCAAGAGTGAAATCGATCATTGTCTAAGCTCAGTAATTATAGGAACGCTACAAAAGTACTATTGGTTACATATGCAACACATACATATTAAGTATTATAAATCTATTTAATAATATATGTAAAATAATAAAAATATGCGGTAAAAAAAAGGAAAAATTAACCTAAAGGAAAAATTTTCCAAGGTTTATTTTCCTCTATTTAAAACACCAGCTATGTACTCGTCTGTGAATTGTGTGCGTGTGTATGGGTGTATAGGTAAGTGTGGGTAAAAGTGTAAAGGGTTCCAAAACTAAAAAAAAAAATATCATAAATGAAAGAGTAAAGAATTATCATAAGTAAGGCTTATCATTATTATTCAAAACAGTGCATATTTTTTAAGTACTGAAGCATCATTATAATTTTATTTATTTTATTAACTTTTTTAATTTGAATTTTGAATACCTATATCTAAACCTTTCCTATTATATAATTACTTATAGAATTTTTTATAATAAATAAATAATAGATCAATCATGTGTTACGGTTAATATCTAAAACCTGCTAATGTTAACTAGAGTTCAATAATATTAATATTTAGATTGCAAAAACAGTTTTCTTTCAACATTGGGGGAGAAATGTGGAAATTATCTAGCCAAAGTCTGAAGTAATTATAAAATTAAATGTCTTTAATTGAACATTAGCTAACTTTGTCATACTAATTTAGCATACATATAGGTACATAGTTAATATAGAATATAACTGAATAATTCTGATGTTCAAATCGTGTTCAAATTTCAGGTATTAACTACCTATAACAGCAACAGCTGTTTTATTCAGCAGATATTAGCCATAACATACACAATTTTTAAGATATTTATAGCGGTTTCGAATGTTAGTTGGTACTTAGATATAATATAAAAAAGGTTTTTAAATGTTAAGTTGAGAACAGCCAGTATTACCTCTGAGCATTTTTTACCACCAACTGTAACAGCGAAATGGACAAATACTTAAAATAATTGACTTAAAACGTAGATCGGTTTTGCCAAGGTTTTGCCTGAGGTCTAACTGAGGATAAGTCTAATTTCACAATCAAAAACGACAGCAAATAAGAAAATATACGTATTTTTGTAATAATCTACTTATAACTAAAAGTACTTAGATACGCTACTGTAAAGGCATTGCTAAAGGTAAAAAAATGTAATAACACTTACCGTCCAAATATCAATCAGGAGTTAGAATAGTCCACCTTTAACAAACTATGCACTGGTGAACCATTGTAGATAGTTAAAAAACTACTTTAAATAGTTTTCTTTGCAATAAACACTAATAATTATTCGAAAGTTGTCCGAAATCCACAAACACTTCCAACGGTCGCAGAAAACTCGCAACAATGCTCCGTTGGACAAAAGTTGAATGAATACGTCAAATGTCAGCGTAATTTCTCAGATTCCGACAATTCAGTAGTAAAAATTAATCCGTAGCGATGCCGGATTGTTTTAGTAATTTCCTAATATATTTTAATCGTAATTTTAATATAATTTAATTAGAAAACTAATAATAATTTCAAAGGTATAATCCTAGTATAATTAATGTATTATAATTAAAATTATATATCTACACAAATATTTAGTCTAATGACCTTGTAATGACAATAGCATTTAGAACTCAAACCGTAATCAGCCGAAATCTACCAACGGTCACTTAAAATTGGCATCATCGATTTTTGTGCAACACGGTTCGTGATCGCGGTAAAATGTAAATTGTTTCGTCTCCTTTTATTTAGATGTCTTTGGGTAGAACCGCGCCACAACTGTTTCCAATTTTCCGGTTTACTGTCACCCCCCTGGCGCACTCGTCGAAGCTCATTCTCCCACTTCCATATCTCTGGAGAATATGCGTGTTAGCTGTCCCCTCTCTTTCCTTGTCTAAGACATATACCAAAGAATATTATAGCTGTGGTATTAAGATATTCTTTGCATATACGTATTATGTCACAGCCGTCATAGCTATGGAGGCTAAAGTCACAGCTCACAGCATAGCTGGTGCGTGGCTGGTGCCAAGCTGTGCCCTTGAAGCTGTGCTATGTTTATGACTGTGGTTTATGACAAGGTTTATACCAGTCATTGGTTTATACATTTTATATGATGGGTTTAACCATAGAGAAATATAAAATAAATTATTTTATAGTTACTTTATGGATTTAACTCAGAGATCATCTCTATCTCTATATCTCTGATTTAACTTGCAATATCATACCATGTATTCTTTGTATCATGATTCGCGCCCTTGCTCGCGCCTCGCGCCATAAAAAAAAGGAGCGAAAAGGAAAAAAGTCCACGAAAAGTCAGTAAACAGATACAGGATACAGATGGTTTCTGGCATAGATAAGGCTTGGTTTGCGAATGAGAGAATAATTTACCTAATATTATTTATCTCATGTTTGCAACGATCTATTTTGGTGTTATAATCGCAGTATAGTACCTATATGATCACAACTCTATAATAAGAAAATTGTGCCGACGATAAATGTGTAGGAAGTTCAAGATTTACTAAAGGTAAAGTTAGTGATAATTATTTTATTTTGATAAAATTATTTATTCATAAACATTTTGCATGATTATATCGTTTTATCTTAATGCACGAAATGTTTTGGTCATATGAATGTGTAAGGTACTATAAAAGTAGAGGTATAGGACTTTTGTATAAAATTAGTACATGATAAATGAATAAAGAAACAACATTTTTAGAATAACTTTTAAAAATGACAACATCTACAAGAAGGACTCACATAACTTTAGATCATGATAGATCTCCATTTATATTGGAACGTAGACGAAACCTTTTTCCTTCAGATGATGATGCCGACTCTGAATTAGGTCATATAAGTCCACTATACTCTGACTTATCTTCTGATAATGAGAACGAGGGTAGTCACATATTACAACCTAAAGGTCATAATTTTGTTCAAAATAATTGTTGTGGAACACCAACAAGTAGTATTGCTCCTTCTGAAAAGATGTCTCCCTTATTATTAAGTCCTTACACTAATAACACATTTAACATAAAGGATACACCAAAAAAATTATCTCCATCACAGGCATTAAAAACACCACATGACACATCTTCAAAATCAAATAGCATTCTTAAAAAAGAACAGAAAACTTTACTAGAGGAATCAAAAAATTCAAAAAGAAAGTGTTCTCCACGTAGTTCACCAGAACAATGCAAATATTTGAAATCAGATCCAAAAGTATCCAAAGTCAGGACAGCATTATTTCCTGAATATTCCTTGGACATGTCTTTATCAACAAAATCATTTTATTCCAAAAATCCAGAAAGTATAGTGGACAAATCTCTTAAAGAAAAGAATTACAAGCTAATAAAATTATCAACAGCAAAACATAGTCGCAGAAACAATAGAAAATTTGGCCAAATAAATAATGGGGTGAGACATAAAATTAAAAAACCCAAAACTAAGAAAATTTCAAGGAAAGTTACTGAGAAGGCATTTAAGAATCTTTCAAAAATGGATGATGCTTTAACAGAATACATTCAGGACTTGGCTGAACTTAAAAAGTCAGGAGATAGTAATAATAAACTTATAAAATTGTCAGAGTCACAATCTAAGATAAATACATGTGAGACAAAAAATGATTTGAAAGAAGTTAAAGACACTCAGAAGGAGATTTTCAGTGAAGAGGATAAAGAGAACACACCACATGATGATAATACTTTAAAATTAGAAAATAAGCAGGATAAAATACAATATGATTCATTTGCCTTTCAAGACGATGATGTAGATTCTACAACGAACATAGAAAATATACTGTCTGTTCTAAAAGACAGTCCAGAGCAAGATGGAAGTACAAGTCAACTTAGCGCAGTGTCACCTAACAGGATAGTTCTAGAAGCCCACACCTCCATTTTAGCTTCAGAAAATTCAATTCAGTTGCATTACAACAGCGTTGCCAATATGATATTATCACCCATATCGCAAATGTGCGACGTCACGTCAGGTTTGGCTTTGGATAGTCCGAAAAAAGCCCGAAACTTAAATTCAGTTTTGAACAGTTTGCCCACACATAGTAATTCTTTTAGTGACGTTGGTTCAGAAAGTTCTGCAACTATGGCTCAGCAAGAAGGAAAGTTGTTCCCTATTTTTTATGGTGAATGTAATAGTAGTAGAGGCCAGAAAAGAGAGAGGACTGAAACAAAAAGGAACCTAAAACGATTTAAAGGTGAGCACCTTTCAAAAACTAGTGTTTATGTTAAGGTTTCTTCCTTGGCTATTTCTGCATATGTCCCAATATTCTGTAGAGACTTTCCATACATGTATCATTGTGTACCCATCCATGACCAATAACTGTAAACCAGTGGCGGCTCGTGACCCGTGTGACTGGATAGTCGACAAAATTTTAGTTTTGTATATTTGCCTACTTGCCCCCCCCCCTTCTGATCAAATACGTTTAAAATAAAGTATACGGAGGGTACCGCTTAAATTCCTGTCCCGATATTGAAGGATGGCTATAGAATTTCAATGCATTTCCTACATAAGTCTATCCTTGGTTTGTAGGAGGTTTGACTAAACAAGGATGAACCTATGTCTTGAAACCATTCGACTCGATTTTCTGTCCTCCTTCATTACTGGGACGTAAATCCTCTCACTGCTCTTATGGGGAGGCCGTCGTATATTTTATTTAAACACCAGCATATTTGACTCTGATAGTAGGCGATGTAGAAATCGCCAAACAAAGGCACTCCAACGGTCAAAATTATTTTCTTTTCTAACGCAGCGGCACAGTTAGCGGTCAGCGTACGCCAGCGGTAGTGAATATGTTAATATACAAATATTAAAATAATATTGATTATTAAAACACACTTCCATGTATTAACAGTATTTTTATGTATTGGCAACATTAATAGTAAATATTGTAATGTAATAAATTGCTTAAATTCTGCCAAAATCTTAGGATAGGCGCCGCCTACCTTGCCTACCCTGACGAGCCGCCACTGCTGTAAACTATCCAATAGGACATATATTCACCAAATTTTAAAGCATGTTTTTTATATCATTGCAACCTGAGTCTCACTTCCACTGGTTTGTGATATATATATATATATATATATATATATATATATATATATATATATATATATATATATATATATATATATATATATATATATATATATATATATTCATTTCCCATTTCATTTCCTCTCATGCTAGCAAGGATTGCAGTGGCGTTAAAATTGATGCCGCGAAACTAACGGTTTTATGGGCAAACTTAACTGGTTATTAAACTTGACTAAATAATTAAGAATTGTTTAAAAACTGTAAACTATTCAGGACTCTTTAATAGGCCAAATTTGTCCATAGAAACTGCAGTCCTTGCTGACATGGGAAGGAGTGAAATAGGGACTGAATAATATTCGCGTATTCAAACGAGTGGAAGGGAGACTGCGAACTGCAGTGACGTAATTGAGCAGTGAAATTTGGCCAAAGTATGTATGGTACCGTATGATCGAGAAAAAACGGCGTCAGCGATGGCTATGAAATGAAGATCGCTGTCATTTTATATGTAAATTTATATGGGAAATGTCATCGATCGTCATTTCCCAGCCAACTGGACGCCATTTTTTTTCGATCATACGGTATTATGTATTGTTTAAGGGATTAATCAATCCTATCTGTTTGCCCTTTCTGGCTCTTGTCTATTGGTCCTTGACTTATGTTGACATTTTACTGAACACCTGAACTGATGACGGAAAATGATTTTTATCAGTTCAAAATTTAAAGTACACGACCTCTTTTGATGTGCTAACTTAGATAACTTAAAAACAAAAAAATCAGCTTTTGTCACCTGATTTACAGTTTTGGCATTATTTTTTATAGGCTTGGTGCCTTCTTGCTGCATTCTCCGCCGGTGCTGCCACCGTCGGAGAATATCGTAAACAATCGATATGCATATACAAATACACATGTTTAAATAGCGAGTATACGAAAAAATTATTATTTAATTATTTTAAAAGTGTTAGGAGGTATAATTTGTGAAAATTCTAAAAATAAAAATAAAAAAGTAAATGTGTGTAATGTCGTGATCCTGGATTGGACCACCGTCGTCACCAATCTTGTAGTCGCTGCCACCAAATGTTGTAGTTCTCTATTTGACTCGTATCACCACTTGTTGGGAATGTTATTCTTTATTTTTTTTATAATTAAATTCTTACTAAGTTGTTATTACTTTTTATTTTTAAACTTTTAATACAAAATATAAATTTAGCAGTATTACGTCTATGAAAAATTTTTATGAATGTCCCCGGTCCCTTCTGTGACCGTGCTTTTATGAGAATGCCCTCTCGAAAATCCACGGGCGTACCTACTATTTCTTAATAATATTTTCAGGTAGGTTTGCAAAGGGACAAACATGACCATTTCTTAAGTAAATAGAAACCAGACATCGCGTCTGAAAGTAAACGAATTACAAAGGAAAACTAAAAATGATGCAACTTTTATGACTATTTCTTCCAAATTTCATCTTAAGGTAATGGTTCTGTTTATTTGCATCACCCATCTTTCTGAGAAGAATAATAATGTTGATGGTATTTTTCGTACCTTAAATTCTTTAGGCATAGCCGTAGAATAAGGGTAAAAATAATATTTTATACAATTTGTCGAATATACATATACATATAACCATATTAAATGTATGTTCACAACACCTCCCCCCTTAATGAGAGATTTCATGAGGTGAAAGTGATATGAAATCTCAAAACAAATGTTTATATAATTAATTAGTATAACTCAGATGGAAATGAATAAAAGTACATATATAAAAGTATTATACAAGTCTTAACTACTAATTATAACTAACTTACATTCTAACTTAACTAACATTTTTTTTTATAACTATTGCAGATTTAAAAATGTATCAAATGCGGAAATTATTTTTCTTTTAATGGTCGCCTTGATGGTACATACCCAATGGGTCTGCGCGAGGGCGCCTGTAAATTAACATTCTCTTCTTCGGAGTTTTCATAGTTACCTACATTTTCAGAGTTTTGGCTAATATTACGATTATAATGAGCAACATATCTATCACTATTTCTAGAAGATGGTTCCACAGACTGATTAACTCTAATGCATAAGTTTGGAATAATTCCGCAACAGGCTGTCTTGTTAGTACATTTTGTATACAATTTATAAATAATAAAAATAATAGCAAGAAGAGCTAAGATATAGGCAATTACAGATGCTGGAAATGTATAATTGTTTACAAGTTTCCTTTTTAGAATTTCATCACCTAACTTTTCAATATCTTCTAGCTTATGGCTCGCTACATTAAGTTCGGGGATGTGCTTTGTTAATTTCCTATAATGTTCGTTGAGAAATATTTCACTAATGTTTATTTTTTCTTCCTTTATCCTTTCGCAACAATTATCACTAATGTCGAATGGTGGAATAAAATCACTTGAAATATTGGACTGGACTGTATTTCCATGAGGGATTAGCATTGATGATGCGCTATAAGCTTTACATTGTTTACCTATAGTGACACTACCGCAATTTTTTAGTATTACATCTACGTGATTTTTTTTATTATTACATGATATCGTAAGAGTTTCTGGATGAGGAACTGCAAATAACCAAGTGTTACTGGTTTGTAGTTGAATAAAAATTGCTCTATCTGACTGAATTATACGTTTGTCACAGATATCAGGTATGATATTTGTGAATTGCAATAATTTAACTTCGCAATTATCTGCCAAATGAGCAAGAGAAACTGGTTTTTGTTGCTTGCAAATAAATTTATTTTCTATAATTTTTAAACAAGTATTAAATTCTATTTCCGACAGTGTAATAAACTGCTGTTTGCTTTCGTCAATTGCTATATATTTAGATGAGGGTTGAATTAATATAAACTGGTTATTTGACATTAATTTTGGAAAGGGTGATATTTTATAAATATAGAATAAATTTGTTTCAATTAAAGGGATGTTTATAATATATATTAATCGTTTGTTTTCGAAATAAACTTGCAACTCGATAACATTTAGAATGAGATTTGCATTGAGCGGATCTAATGGTACAGGAAATTCTAATCCATGAGGTAGAGATTCGGACACATCTTTTAATTCGTTAATTAACCTTAATGGCGTTAATATTGAGGGGTGTAAAACTCCCTTTCTTGCTACTAAAATAGCATTCGTAATCGTCATGATTTCTAATTGTAATTGATTTAGCATCATATTTAAAATAGTGACGTGTTCTTCTATGCCGGTTTTTATATATAGAAAATGAAAATTTTCTTTGACTTTGCTTAATTCATCGCTAATCTTTTTTATATTATTTTTTAATAAATTTTCGTTAAAATCTAAAGTTCCAATAGTATTATTGAAATTAATTATTGTTGATTGAACAATTTTTGTTTGTTCTTTTAAAAGTTGAAGGACTGAAGTTTCGTCTTTATTCATTTGTGAAATTTTATCATTATAGTATTTAGCATCTTCTTCATCTAAAACGCCGAATAAAACTTTAGTTGCTTTTCCTACAATATTGAACCAACCTCGTTTTTGTCTACTTTCTGATAAATGACTATGACCGATCAATTCGTGTAAGACTTCTAGTTCTTTTTCAATTTTTTCGAAAGTGTATTTAGAACTTTTCAAAAATAACTGACAAATATAATAGTGATATTGAGCATTCTCATTATTGCATAAATCTGTAGTATACTTACGGTAATTCTTTAATGATAATAACTTATTACTAATATTTTCTAATTCTACAAAAGTTACTAGTTTCCATTTGTTATTAAAATTTTGCGGTGGGCGTGTCTGATTATTGCTAGGTACATTTCTATTATATGAGTTACTATTTTGTTCGTATTGCCTAAGCTGTCTACACTGTGATGTTAAATGATTATTTTTAAAACAAAATAAACAGGAATTATTAGAAGAATGATTATTTAATTGTCTATTTCCACGCTCTACAAAACCTATATTTTTAAAATGCGAGTTTTTAAACCTGTCATTATTCTCAAGTTCCATTTCAATTGCTAATGATAAAGCTTTATCTAAATATGTAGTATTTTCGGCAATAATACGCATTTGAATTTTTTCATCGTTGAGTCCTTTCTAAAAGTATTGACTAAAATGGAGTTTAAATTTTCTATTAAAACAGTAGCTTCGTTATTTGCATAATTTAAGTGACACGTTTCTTTATATTTATTAAAGAGAA